TTCAAATATGTGAACAGTCATGTGACAGATGGAATGAATTTATTCCGTGTTATTACACAAGACAAAATGTAAGGCAATGTATGGAAAGTGATTTGAGTTTTGTTTTTTTTTTAAAGTACTATTATGGGGTGATTTCTCATTTTCTCTTTCTCTGTCTCTCTCTCTCTTTCTACCAAATGCATGCACCCTATGACAAGAACCTAAAAACATTTCAAAGTACTGTCATTATACCAAGGGCTAATATTTACATAGCACCACGGTATCATTAGTCCTCACAATTCGTTTTGTTTTTGTTTTTTAGAGAGGTATTTGCTATAGGGTGCATACAATCGCCAGAGAGACAAAGAGAGACAGAAAGTGAGAAGTTATACCCCCCAGGCAGGATGGCCACATCACAATCCCTTCTCCTCCATTCTCCTTTCAGGATCTTGGGCACGCACGTACACATGCCCAGCATGAGTTTGAAGCTCCTGGGTCTGGAATTCAAATCTCAGTAGACTACGTGGGAATCCAGCAACGTAACCATTACACCTTTAACCCTCACAGTTCTGAGGATCAATGTTATCACCACTAAGCAGATAGAGAAACTGAAAATTCGACATGCCGAGTAACTGGTCTAAGAGCAAAGAACTTAGAAGTGCCAGGGCAAGGCTGGGAATCAAGCCCAGGCCATCTACTTGGGAGGCTCTTAACTATACTAAGTTATTTTTTATTAAATTATACAAATTGTGTCAGAACATTTATTTGAACAAAATCCCTATGATCATCTACAAAGGGACTTTACAAGGCTTGTAGATAATGGAATTAAAGTACTAGTTCATTTTGGTGCAAACGTTTTTTAAAACCGACATAGTTTTGTCATCATACACATTTTCCATGAACTTCCTGAAGAGCCTTCATGCTAGACATAGTATAAAAAAGCTCTCATGAAAGAGTCTGAACAGTATGGCCAAGTGAGTATGTCAGGAAGGAATGCAGTATGCTCAGACATTAACAGTCTAGCCCCTGAGCCACCAGCCTATGGCATCAGAAGTCCAAGGATGCTTCTCCCACCCCAGCGAGGCATACAGACATCCAGTGCCCATTGGTGTCATGACTTAAAAGAAGGCAGGAAGCATTGCAAGAGTAGGAGACTTTTCTTCTCTACCTCATTAGCATTACTTTAGATTTAGGATCCTGATCCTTAACCTAACCACAGGGCAGGATCTGCTTAAACACTCTGAACAGTATGGCCAAGTGAGTATGTCAGGAAGGAATGCAGTATGCTCAGACATTAACAGTCTAGCCCCTGAGCCACCAGCCTATGGCATCAGAAGTCCAAGGATGCTTCTCCCACCCCAGCGAGGCATACAGACATCCAGTGCCCATTGGTGTCATGACTTAAAAGAAGGCAGGAAGCATTGCAAGAGTAGGAGACTTTTCTTCTCTACCTCATTAGCATTACTTTAGATTTAGGATCCTGATCCTTAACCTAACTACAGGGCAGGATCTGCTTAAACACTTTTTTTTTTTTTTTTTAACAAAATCGGCTCTTCTTTCTCTCTTTCTTTCTTTCTCTCTCTCTTTCTCTCTCTCTCTTTCTCTCTTTTTTTCTTTCTTTCTTTGGAGAGGTTTTTGCTATAGGGTGCCTTTGCTCACCAGAAAGACAGAGAGAGAGAGAGAGACAGACCCAGGGGGAATGGCCCCTTCTCCTCCACTCTCCTCTCGGGATCTTGGGCATGCACACACACACAGGCCCCGCATGAGTTTAAGCCACGGGGTTTGGGTCTCAAACACTGATTGACTATATGGGAGTCCAGCGACATAGCCGTTACACCAACTGCTTGTCCCAGCCCGCTCGATTTCTTGACACCATGTTATCTGACAATTCCCCTCCAGAAGTTAACATTCAGCCATGCATACATTATGTCATTCTGGTAATAACATCAATTACAGCCTTGCATGTGTGAAAATTTCTTTATGGCTAGTGAAAGACAGTATCTACATGTATGTGAAGTTAACGGGTTTATTTGGAAGATACTGATATTGACAGAATTTCTCATGAATGGGCCTGTGATTCAATTCTCTCACTAGTGTAGGTTACAGATGACCTCATGCTTACCAGCTTCTTCTTCTACCCAGGGACACCACAGACCAGGCCTGGATTAACACCAGTGAAGCTCCCAAGGATAAATGGCAAAGAATGAATGGCTTTTCTAACACTAGTTGGTTATTTGCACCTGATATTATATCTGTGATTTCTGTAGTTTAAGAAGGTTAGACTGGTGCTCTTAATAAGCATTGTTCGAGTCCCGGACCCGGTGGCTTAAACTCACACAGGGCGCATGTGCGTGCATGCCCAAGATTCCGAGAGAATAGAGGAGAAGGGATTGTGGTGTGGCCATCCTCCCCTGGGGGGTGATTTCTTGCTTTCTGTCTCTCTGTCTCTCTCTCTGTCTTTCTGGTGAACGCACGTGCCCTATAACAAAATCCTCTCCAAAATAATAATCATAATAATAATAATAATAATAAGCATTGGTTTCTGTGTTTTTTTTTTTTTTGAGAGGTTTTCGCTATAGGGCGTGTGCGCTCGCCAGCCAGACAGAGACAGAGAGACAGAAAGCGAGAAATCACCCCCCAGGGGGGATGGTCATGCTGCAATCCCTTCTCCTCCATTCTCCTCTTGGGATCTTGGGCACGCACACAAATGTGCCCAGCATGAGTTCTAAGCCACCGGGTCTGGGACGCGAGCCGCGGTCAACTACGTGGGAATCCAGCGACATAGCCATTACTTTAACTGCTGGTTCCCAGCATTGTTTTTACATTTGTTGTCTATGTGCATAAAGTTGGCTTGTGATATACTTTAGTGCACTGCCAATTAGAGCACATTTCGGGGGGGGGGGGGGAATTACATCCTTGTCTCTGAAAGCAAAGTTACAGTTCTACCACTTCTAGCAGTAGACAGTCAAAATGCAGGTTTCTTAAGCCTGCATTTACTGAGTAACCACTGTAGACAAAACTACAAACAGATCCATATGAATGACAAGATAAACAGAAGAAATGCTTTGACAGACACTAAGGAAATGTCAGAGTGCACACCACACTGAAGAGGAAGGGCAAGCAACAGAATCACCAATGCCTTTTTAGTGACCCATAATGTCACAGTCTGTCTTAGAAATTGCCATTTAATAAGCCCCAAAATATTTTCAACATAAAAACAGAAACCTGTACTTAACTCTAAAACAGGCAATAGTGTGAATAAGAGTTAAATCCAATAATAAACAAAAATAAAACTTGACCTTTTTATTGTTGATAATAAGTGAGCGTAAATGTAGCAGGCACACTTTTATGGGAACAGCCAGGGTTTTCAAGGTCAACTCCATGAGTCACTCTTTCTTTATTATATTAAACAATAGCAGCATCATTTAGGGTGAGCTAAATCTTCCCAAGGCTTCATTATGACTGAAGAAGCCCAACTTGAAGATGCAGATGTTTTAGGGTTTGGTAGTGAGCTGACGCTTGTACTGTCACTTCTATTTTTCTTTTTTCTTTTTTTTTGGAGAGGCTTTTTTTTTTTTTTTGCTATAGGGCGTGTGCGCTCACCAGAAAGAGAGACAGAAAGCGAGAAATCACCGCCCAGGGGGGATGGCCATGCTGCAATCCCTTCTTCTCCATTCTCCTCTCAGGATCTTGGGCACGCATGCACACGAGCCTGGCATGAATTTGAGTCCGAGACTCGAACTGCGGTCAGCTACATGCGAGTCCAGTGATGTAGCCATTATGTTATCTGCTGGTCCCGCCATTTCTATTTTAAGGTACGCCCTTGACCTGGTGTACAAGAACAAATCATTCAACTTTTTACTAGGTTTTAATATGGACAGGTGTGCTCTTTATATCTATCTATTGTCTATAGAAGCCATATACCGAAGAAACCAATCAACTCTGGCAAAGAACAGAGTTCAAGGTACGACAGGAACACCAGGAACCATAATGATTCAAAGTCCCTTGTGTGTCGCAAAAGCCGATGATAGGAAATTTAATATTTAATAATTACCTGGACTTGTTTTTTTATTTAAAATCTCAACTGCACAACAGTCAATTAATGTTTTCAACATTTGAGGATCAAAATCAGAACACATAAGAAGAATATGCTTCACTACATGCAAGTTAAAAAGACATGATTTGGGGGGCAGCCCGTGGCGTGGTGGTTAAGGTAGCTGGGTCTCACATGGCGTGTTTCAAGTCCTGGATCTGGGAGCTTGAGAAACATGTGGGGTGCATGTACATGTGTGCCCCAAATCCAGAAAAATAGGAGAGATGAGAAGGAAGAGATTGCAGCATGATCATTGTCTAAGACAGGTGCTTTTTCCTCTCTCCCAGTCTCTCTCTGGCAGTCGGACATGCCTTCTAACCAGAAGGAAAAGTATACCGACAAGTAGTGGGAACAATGTTTAATGTTGGAGTCGGCAGGGCTAACCTAGGACAGCTGGGTCAGAAGCAAACTTGAAGGAGGCCAGAAAACTCAATAATCCACATAAATAAAATCCTAATGCAACATTTATTTTCAAAACTCAAAATTAATACAAAAACTCCATGATGAACAACATATCATGTTTTTAAAAAGAATTTTAAAGCAGTATCTATACAACATAAGATGCAGAGGCAAAAGAAAAAATAAATAATTCTGATCCCGTCTTTACATTTCTGTTATTTGTTTCATCATGGGCTTTTTTGGCATTAATTTTGGTCCTTTAAATAGTGCACGGATACACTGTTTAAGATTACCATAGACTTCTGGTGCCTCCTTAAAACACTTTGCCATCCCGGCAGGAGAGTGCGGCAGGAGAGTGCGGTGCTCAGCTCAGCCTAGTCACGCCCCTGGGGGCTCAATACCAGCTCCTAGAAAGGCTGCAGGGACTAACCTGGCAGCCCAGGGTACCAGCGTGCTGTGGGCCGGATTGTCCCCGAGGTAAGAGCCGGAGGAGGTGGGCCGGGGCTCTCGGGCCAGTACCCGAGCCTACCTCGCTTATTCTGCGTGCCGTGCTTCTTGGCCAGGGCGAGTTCTCTCTGGATTCGATTTTCCAGGTACTCTTGTTTCTTGCCCAGCATCTCCTCTGTCTCCCGAAGTCGGGCCAGGGCCTCCTGGGGACTGGGAGCAGCTCGGCTCTTGGAAGAGCCTCCCCCTTTAAATAACTTGCCCAACTTGCTCATGGCTGTGTTGTTGGAGGGCGAGCGAACCCAGGGACGTCTCAGGAGCTCCCCAGGAATGCGCCTGGGCAACAGGTGACCGAGACAGTCCTTTTGGTGGCCCAGACCAAAAAAGCAGCGCTCCTGGGAATCAACAAGCCGTCGGGGGCAGGTGACACACACTCCTGGGAATGGCCTGGCCGCGAGCTCGGCCCCGCCCCTCGGCGGGGCTCCCGGGCGGGGAGGACACCAGGGGAGCGCACCGGACGTAGGCTGGCCGGCGCCACTAGCCCTAGGAGCTAGGGGAGAGAGTGGAACAGTTGAGAAGACTGGGAAAGATTGCACCAAAGCTGCTCGTTTTTCAGCCCTGGGAAGGGCCCCGGATCTCTTTGCTAATGGCTCAGACAAATGCAAACCAATGTTCTGGAGGTCTTGTACCAGGCCTGAAAGTGGTGCGTGTGAAGCGCACTTTGCTTACCTGGATATGCCAAATACTTTACTCCATGCATGTGGGGTGTGTGTGTGTTTATGTGTGTGCGTGTGTGTGGTGTTCCTGTATTCAGTTCTCTGTTCTTGTGAATAATAATATTCAGATAGGGGCCGGCAGATGGTATGGTGGTTGGGGATGCTGGACTCCCACATGGCGGATGGTGGTTCGAGTCCTGGACTTGATAGCTTGCTTTTTTACTTTTTCTCTCTCTCTCCCTCTCTCTCTCTCTCTCTCACACACACACACACATTCTGTCTCTCCCTGGTCAAATTAGAAAGAAAGAAAGTTATATAAAATAATTCTTTTTTTTTTTTTTGAAGAGATTTTCACTGTAGGGCGCGTGCGCTCGCCAGACCGACAGAGAG